TTACAAAAAGCACTTAGGTGCCATAAGACACATGAGCATTCAGACAAGACAGAAAGCTGCTGCAAATCTACTTCTCATTACTAAATGCTGTTGCCACACTGGTAACTGCCTTAAAAAGTGAAAGTTTCTCAGAAAGGTGACTTAGCTCAACACTGTTCATCTGGTTTATTTGCATCTCCGTTAAAATTGAGCACACAGTCAGAGTGTCTCCAAAAAACATCTCTATGGCTTTGTTTGCTTTCTTCTTCCTCTGTAGAAGTGTAGCCATATGCTAAGTTTAGTGGGTGTTTTTAGTGGTTTCCTAGTTTGGAGTTTATTTAGATTTAAAAATGTACATTTGATTGCTAACCAGCAACAGCCAGAAATAATTCTAGTGAAGTCAACATAGAACAGGTATAAATTACCATGAAAACCATAAGGAACAGCCTCAGGTACACCAGTTTCAAGATCATATGGTATGTTTATTGCTCAAGCACAGTAAACTTTTTAGATTGCTGTGGGACTTGGCATACTATTATCACATAACACTTCTCTTAGAAAACAGACAATTTAGATGTATCTGTACTTTTAACTCCCAACTTTATGCCTGCTCACAGACAACTTCTTTTTTTTTAAATTATTTTTAACATAGAACTGCTTTGAGACACTCAATCGCTTAATGCTTTTAAAACCAGACCTCACGAAGTGAGAATTCATACCCTGATATTTTAGCACTATTTTCTGTCTTTCAAAATGGTCTTCAAAACTTTGATTTGCATGTCTACATTCCTAAAGCAAATTTAAAAAAAAAAAAAACGAAACAAAAAAAACAACCACAAAACATCACAACTCACAAAGCTGGCCTTGTAATTTTTTTTTTAAACTCTGAGTCCACAGTGCACATACCCAAACTGCAAGTAGCATATATCAAAGCATCTGTGAACACCCAGCACATATTTTTATGTACCATGTCATTATCTCCTAATGTGCCATCTCTCAGCTTACTGCTCCATTAGTCCTAGTGACCAAAGAAGATGCTTTTTTCCTTCCTGACATCTTTAGAAACTGAAGAGCACAACTAACAACTTGCTGGCTAGGGAATTCAGAATCACACAGGCTCATCCAGTGCTTGCTTGATCCAGCCTGAATAGGAAGGTTAATGACTTGATGAGCACTTGCAGACCGCCCACCACAGCGCCACACAAGCTTTTGTATGAATTGCCAGGCGCCAGCAAAGCGTGTCCTGACCCCTGCAAAAAACACCAGCTATGCAAGGGATGGTGCACACCAAGCCCGGGAAAGAAGCTGATGAATGAACCCAAAGGCCCTCTGGGTTTACAGTGATGACAGTAACTTCTCTGCTTTGCTCAGAATGTCTCAGAGCTGTCAGGGGACCTGCTTAGAAGGTACCACAGAGCATCGGCCGCTACCCAGCAGCCCTTGTGGTCATTTCTGGAATGGGGGTGACACAGTGGTAGCTGGTTCTTGTGCCTTTGGACTGCCCTTCCACCAAGCAGTGCAGCTTGCCCTTCCATTCACACAAATTAATTCAGAAAACACTGTTCTTCCAGAATAACAAGGAGGAAGAGTGAGTAGAGAGTGAGAGTTCTCTTGGCATCCAATTCAAATCTTGTGAATAGCTTCTTGCAAGGAACTATTTTTAAGTTTCATATCAATCTGCTTGAGAAAGTTTCCTTCTGCTGCCTACAAATGTGCAAACTCCCCCTTTGAAGATTCACAGCTCAGGACAGCAAGATCCAGCCCTGCACTTCCAGTCTACTCAGGACCCAGTACTTACTGATCAAAGCATTGCACAACCACACGATGCTCCTGCAGAGCATGCCCTGCTGAGCCCCACCCATGCATCAATGGAGCCCCCCCCATTACCTTCAGGAGTCCTGTGTGTTCTTCACAATTTTATAGGTAGCACACGTTCACCCTTGACAACTCACACTGAGGCAGTCTGACTGCTTCTGGAAGCACTGGAACAGGCTGCCCCGAGAGGTTGTGGAGTCTCCTTCACTGGAGTCATTCAAAACCCGCCTGGACGCCTTCCTGTGTGATGTACTCTAGGTGACCCTGCTCTGGCAGGGGGGTTGGACTAGATGATCTTTCGAGGTCCCTTCCAACCCCTATGATTCTATGATTACTGCTCTCACCACTGAAACACAGGCAGAACTGTTAGAGGAGACTGAGGTAAAAAGCGAGATGCAGTAACAGTATAGATGTTGTGCATGACCCGACCCGAGAGGTGAAACCATTGTATCCTGGGTTATCAGAAGATCCTGTGTGAAGGCATTGCTCAAGCTTAAGAGTTCTGTGAGAGAACAAAAAAAAAAAAACCAACCAAGAAACAGCACTACACAATGGATGCAGATAAGCAACCTCTGAACAAAGCCCTGGGCAAGAGCAAGACAACAAGGAAAAATTATTAGCTGCAAGCATCCTATATCCTGTCTCTAATAAAGCAACACAGATGTTCTGCTAATGCAGGGCATGAAAAAAAAAATGAAAAGAGCCCTAAGCAGCTACCAACCCCTCCATAGGAGGGCGGGTCAGTGTTCAACAGCTGTCAGAGGGAGATGGTGGCTGAGTGCATGAAAAGCCTCTTCTTAACCAGACTGGGAACGCAACATCTCCCTCGTCACCAGTGAGGGAGGCCACCGCTATGACCACAAGGCCCTCAATGCCATTGCAAACAGGGCCTTGCAAGCCCAGCTCTGGCCCAAGAACAGAAAGCCCATTGTTCAAGAGTTTAGTCACCGGGGTGGTTATCTCCACTGGGAAACGCCTGGTGTATGCACACACAGGCTGGGCACTGCACCTCTCCGTGGCACAGAACTGGGGCTTTGCCCAGGCAAGAGCTACCAGATCCACGGGTCTAGAGGAACCAAGTGCTCCAAGACCACTTCTCATCGGAGAAGTGGGGTGCCCAAACAGCCCCATCATCAGCCCTTGGCCAAATGCTCTGCACAGTCTGACTTATTATGGTGTACTTCCCAAAGGCAGAGCCATCAGCCCTCCATGAGGCTTTCCTAAGCCTAAATATGGAAAATCTGTTCCCCAGAAAATTCAGGCCACTTAACTAGCACATACTGGGCATCTGCTACTGCGTCAAAAGGCAACTGCAATAAGAACATTATTTAACAACCAGTTACATGGGAACACATGCTGAGTTCTACATCATACCCTACTGCTTTTGCAATTTTTCTTTCCCCCTTCTCAACATGGTGTCCCCTGTGCCATTCCCCACTGCTCAAGTGGGAGAAGTCTTTGCTCATGCCAGTGGGTGGAATTTGAACCCCATCTGCCCACAGGCTTTGTCCTGCACATATCATAGCCCCAGCTGTGTAGAAAGGTCCAGCACCAAGAGCCTGGGCATGCTGCAGGCATGGCACCACAAACAGCACATATGGGGAAGCATCACCCACTGGGTGACACTGGACTACAGTGCAGCTCAGAGCTGAGCCAAGCTAGGTGGCTGCAGCGGGGACACTTCCCCAGGATGCTGCAAACATAAGGTAAGCTCTGTAAGGTGCATGGTACTAACCTACACAGCATGTCAGTACTCCAGTTCACAAATGAGTATGATAAAATTTAAACATATGAATCTCTTAATTCAACGTATCTGCACTGCCACTGGACTCACGAGTTTCAAGGGCACAAAGAACATTACTTTCTTTTCCTTCTGATAAAAATTTTTTGCCTCTTGCTGTCAGCAAACCAGCAATGTAAATGAACATTTGAAAGTCACTGTATAACTAAGAGTCATTGCATATAATCAGATTAAAAAGTGCAAAACCAAATGCAAGTAGAAAGCTTGAGCTTCTCGGTGAAAGGAAATAGAAATGAAAACATGAAGCAGTCACAAAAAGTACTGAAGTGGGTAAACCCATGTTAGACCAAATCCAGCTCCAGTCTGAACCTGTGCACACAATTCCGCCAGTTCTGTTACTCATTATGTTCATAAAAGTAAATTCAAATCTTTTCAAGCAACAGTTGAAGTTCAAGGGGAAACTTCTAAGCTTATAAAATTTACCAGATTCCCTCTAGAAATTCAAACAGTTTAATTACTCTAATCAAAGCATTAAACACTATGTCAAAAGTTCCCAAAAGTAACCCATTTTCCGTATTGTCTCAGGGTTTTTACCATCCCATTTAAAACACCTTTGAGGATTCACACTTTGGAGAAGAAGAAAAAAAAGTGGACGTTCTCTTCCTGAGAACCACAGTGAAGCAACCCAAGCCAGAGACACCCACCTCTCCTCCCTGTGAAGCCCCCATCCCAGCTGAGACATCAGCTTTTTGGTAAATTTTGAAAGGTACTTGCGGCTCCCAACAGTGATAAGCAATGAAGAGCCATTTACTGCTGGCAAAATCGACTCTGAAAAAGACAAGCACTAGCAAAACATCTCAGCCGTAACCCAGGCCTAGCAGAACCATCATGTTTGCATGTCCCTTGCAGAAGGCATTTTCCCAACACCCATTTTTATGGGAGTGCTGCTATCCTAATATTTTGGCTGTTCCTCAACTACAGGACAGCATTAGAGTGCATCTGCAACTGTCTCCAGGAAATACAAACAAAGCTGATTCATTATCTTAAAATGCTGCTTTCATTTCTGCTCATTAAAAGCACATTTCAGATCCCTGCACTGAATGTGCATCTGATGTGCTCTGGACACAGATTAAAGTACTGGGTTTCAGTTCTCTACTTTTCTCATTTCAGTTTCATTTGCTGCCCACAATGTGCATTCTCCATTTCGAAGACAGCTGTATCAGACCTGAGCTATCACTGCAAAACGCTCTGGGACAAAATCCTCTCTCTCCCTGCGATGCCTGGCACTCCAGGTAAGTGCACCTGATGACTCAGCCTGTATTTCAGGAGCTACAGCCCACACCAGCAGCATCCTCCCTGCAGAAACAGAGCAATAAACAGTTGTTCTGCACATCCCGCACCCCGAGCCATTCGGAAGAGAAAGAAAAGCAAAGTGAGCTTAGGTAATGCACGCGTTAGTCCTCACCTTTAGGGAGTCAAAGCAGGCAATAACTCGACCATTTTCCACATGGCAACTCCGTGACGGATGGGCGAACTTGCACTCTGCATCAGAGCGAGAACAAGTACCTCTCTGAAACTCTCGACACACTTCTAACGTCAGCCATTTTGTATCACGAACCAGGGAAACGTTTACAGCCATATTAAAAAACAAAAATTAAAACGCAAGCAGTCGTACCCTTCTTCAGGGCAATGTTTACTGCTGATTTATTGTTTCTTTTTTTTTTTTTAAAAAAAGGGTAAAAAAGTGAATTCAAGTTAAATGTGAAGTAAATAACTTGTTGCTTTGGTAGAACTCCTATTCATCAGCACTTAGGTTTTCATTTAAGTCAAATCGTGTTTGTTTAAACAAGAATTAAACATAAAGCCAATCATAAAATAGAAATCTTATCAGAACAACTGAAAATCAAATTAGAGGCCAGCTCCTAAAAGTGCAATTGTAGAAGTTAAAATGTAAGTGTTGTATTTTGTGCCACTGCCGACGTTACTTGCAAATAACTGGCAGACTTTCAAAAGAATTCTGTGCTCTCCAGTTAATGGTTTCAATTATTCTTGCAAAAAGCATATGCTGCTGGCAGCACTTCAGTTTGTGGAATGGTCTCGGTCCTTGGGGAGAAAACTTCGGGGTTTTTTTCCTTCTATTTCTTGCTTCTAAAAATTACGGTTCGTGAGCATCAAAACGAGCAAAAGGACGCCTGATTCTTTTTTTCCTTTTTTTTTTTTTAAGTATCTCCTACATACTCGAGAGAAGAAAAAAAATTAAAATGGCTGAGAAAACTGCGGGTAAGTGGGGGGCCAAAAAAAAAAAAAAGGGCAAGGCTGGAGGAGTTGCCGTCAGGGCACGAACCGCAAGCAACGCCGAATTAAAGAGAGGGGGCGAGGGGCAGAGAGGCAGCCCTAGACAGAAATCCAAGCAGCGGTGGCTTCAGGAAAGGCACTTTTCAGCAACCTGCAGGAAAAAGAGAAATAAAATCAGGT